AAACGCTGTCAAGCAGCAGTGCATGGAGGCTGTTCACAGTAGTGAGAGATGGCAGAACAAGGAGCAATGGTCTCAAGTTACAGTGCGGGAGATCTAGGTTGGAGATTAGGAAAAACTATTTCCCTAGGAGGGTGGTGAAGCACTGGGATGGGTTACCTAGGGAGGTGATGGAATCTCCATCCCTAGAGGAGTTTAAGTCTCAGCTTGACAAAGCCCTGGCTGGGTTGATTTAGTTGGGATTGGTCCTGCCTTGGGCAGGGGGCTGGACTTGATGACCTCCTGAGGTCTCTTCCACCTCTTTGATTCTATGATTCTATGAATGCAACAGACTTAATTTCTGCAGACACTGCTTTGAAATGAGGCAACACATTCCTAAATTGCTGGTGCGCTGTGACCACAGCTTCTGAAAATAATGAGACCTGTTTTGCTACTCCCTTTCGTCCCCCATGTTGGTTGTTGTATGACCTGTTGTCTCTTATCTCACACAGCATGTAAACCCTTTGCAAGAGGGGCTGTCTTAGTGTGTGTAAACATGACTATTTTGAACCCCTTTACATTTAAAATAAATGTGGTCCACATTTACAAAAAAAAAAGGGCCTCCTCAGAAATTCCTGTGTATGGGCCTGAAACTGTCCACAAAACATCGCTTAGCCCTGCAGCTGAGTTCAGAAATCTCCACTGAATAGTGTGACGTAGTGGGGGTACCTGGCTGGTTTCTATGCTGCTGGCTCTGGGGTAACCCTCACTGGCTGCCGTGGGTACCACGACCCAGCAAAACAGGATGAGTCACTATGCAAAGGGACCTCTCAACCGGTGTGGACAGAAACCCCCCATGGAGAGGAACAAAGGAAGGTGGAATGCTGCCCTGGCTGGGGGGCAGGGCTGGAAGAGTGGCTTAGTTGCTGTCTGGGAGCATGGAGGAGACAGCCTAGGGAAAGGGGCTGGAGTTTAGGGGCCCAGTCTTCCCCCATCTCAAGGGGGCCTGAGGCATCCTAGCCCAGCTCTGTGACCAGATTACATCTGTGCTGTGCTGTATCCTGGAGAGGCAATAAACTTCCTCTATTCCACCGGCTGGTGCAGTCTGTTTGTGCCATTTTGGGGTGCAGGAGACGGGGGACCCCCAACGCGCCGTCACAAATAGTTTTAACAAATCATTTTGAGCACACAAGTGGGCCCCCCCCCCCTTCTTCCTCTTGCTTCTGATATATTTGTAGAATGCCCAGGGCTGGCCCACAACATTTTGGCACCTGAGAGGGGGAGCTCAAATGACACCCCTATGCCCCCTCGCTTGGGCCAAAACTTTGAAAGGTCTCAATTCTGCCCTCCTTCCTCCAGCACAGCGCTCCAGCATCTCTGTGCATCTAGAGCAGAGAGATACATCTGCACCAGCAGCAGACACAATTCTCTACACTCTGGGTCCTAGTGGCACCCCCCCAAAGTCTGGCACCTGAGGCGGCCGCCTCAGTTCACCTCATGGTAAAGCCAGCCCTGAGAATGCCTTCTTGTTACCGTCTATGTCGCTAGCTAGATTGAGCTCGTTTTGTGTCTTTGCCTTTCTAATCTTGCCCCTGCATACTTGTGTTGTTTGCTTATATTAATCCTTTGTAATTTGACCTAGTTTCCACTTTTTATATGACTCCTTTTAGATTTTTAGATCACATAAGATCTCCCGGTTAAGCCAAGGTGGGGTCTTGCCATGTCTTTCTAGAAGCAAGAGGAAGACCAAGGACAGGGCAGGCCCATTGCTCAGTGAAGAGGGAGAAACAATAACAGGAAACTTGGAAATGGGAGAGGTGCTTCATGACTTCGTTTCAGTTTTCACCAAGAAGATTGATGGTGACGGGATGCTTAACATAGTGAATGCTAGTGGAAATAGGGTAGAAGTTAAAATAAAAAAAGAACAAGTTAAAAATTACCCAGAAAAGTTAGATGTCTTCAAGTCATCAGGGCCTGATGCAATACATCCTAGAATACTCAAAGGGTACGTCTAGACTACATGCCTCTGTCGCCAGAGGCATGTAGATTAGGCTACCAGACATAGTAAAATGAAGCGGCGATTTAAATAATCGCCGCTTCATTTAAATTTACATGGCTGCCGCGCTGAGCCTGTAGTCTAGACGTACCCTGAGTCCAGTATTGGATTTGTTTCACAATCGTTTCGCGAGCTCGGCGCAATAGTCTGGACGTGCGTGTGGCGACATCAAAGGTATTTGTCGACCACCCAAGTATACCTCATTCCAGGAGGCATACCTGGGTGGTCGACAAATACCTTTGATGTCGACACCCGTGCGTCCAGACTATATTGCTGAGCCGACAAACAGCTGATCAGCTGTTTGTCGGCTCAGCGCAGCAGCCATGTAAATTTATATGAAGCGGCGATTATTTAAATCGCCGCTTCATTTTACTATGTCTGGTAGCCTAATCTACATGCCTCTGGCGACAGAGGCATGTAGTCTAGACGTACCCATAGTGATGATAGAGGAAGTATCTGAGCCTTTAGCTATCATCTTTGAAAAGTCATGGAAGTCAGGAGAGATTCTAGAAAACTGAAAAGGGCAAATATAGTGCTCATCTATAAAAAGGGAAATAAGAACAGCCCAGGAAACTACAGACCAGTCAGTTATTTCTGTTCCAGGGAAAATAATGGAGCAAGTATTTAAGGAATCCATCTGCAATCTTTTGAAAGATAGTAAGGTGATAGGTAACAGCTAGCATGGATTTGTAAAGAACCATGTCAAACCAATCTGATAGCTTTCTTTGATAGGATAACAAACTTTGTGGATAAGGGAGAAACGGTGGATGTGGTATACCTAGAGTTTAGTTAGGCATTTGACATGGTCTCATATGATCTTTTTGTCAATAAATTAGGCAAATAGAGCCTAGATGGGGCTACTAGAAGGGGGGGTGCATAACTGGCTGGATAACCATTCTCAGAGAGCAGTTATTAATGGTTCACAATCCTGCTGGAAGGGCATAACAAGTGGGGTTCCGCAGGGGTCTGTTTTGGGTCCAGTTCTGTTCAATATCTTCATCAACGATTTGGATATTGACAGAGAGAGTACGCTTATTAAGTTTGCAGATGATACCAAGCTGGGAGGGGTTGCAGGTGCTTTGGAGAATAGAGCTATAATTCAGAATGATCTGGACAAATTGGAGAAATGGTCTGAGGTAAACAAGATGAAGTTTAATAAGGACAAGTGCAAAGTGCTCCACTTAGGAAGGAATAATCTGTTTCATACATACAGAATGGGAAGTGACTTTCTAGGCAGGAGTACTGGAGAAAGGGATCTAGGGGTCATAATGGACCTCAAGCTATGAGTCAACAGTGTGATACGGTTGCAAAAAAAAGCAAGCATGGTTCTGGGATACATTAACAGGTGTGTTGTGAGCAAGACACGAGAAGTCATTCTTCCGCTCTACTCTGCACTGATTAGGCCCCAATTGGAGTATTGTGTCCCGTTCTGAGCACCACATTTAAAGAAAAATGTGGAGAAATTGGAGAAGGTCCAGAGAAGAGCAACAAAAATGATGAAAGGTCTGGAGAACGTGAGCTATGACTGGACTTGATGATCTCTTGAGGTCCTTTCCAGTTCTACTGTTGAATGATTCTATGATTCTCCCATCCCTGGCCAGCGTGAAGGGGCCTTTTTACCACTCCACCATCAGGCATGTGGTTGTGCCTCAGTTTCCCTACCACCTCCAGTCTTCCCCAGACTGGGAGGGTGATCTGGCCAGACTAGCAGAGTGATCTGTCAGATTCATCTTGCCCTCTGACAGCTGATGCTCAGAAATCCTGAGATTTGGCCATGGCCTCACATGGGGGCCCCACCACCCCAGCAGAGTGGACTGGGCATGTATGCCTCTTCCCTTCCTGACAGGGGTGGTAGCAGCCGCAGGAGTCTCTTTCCTCTCCTGGGCAGTGGAAGTGTAGCACCCACATGGTGCCAAGATCCCCCTGCTGTCCCTCCCAGAGTTCTGTAGGATTGTGGGGCCAGGTAGTTTTAGTCCCACTGCTCCTACCTCTGCCGCAGGCTGTCAGAACGCTCAGGCAAATATCAGAGCATTGGTTAAACCCAGACCACCTTTACCCCAGCTCAGGCTCTGGCCTGGAACTATTTTCTTAAATGACAGCTGGGGATTTGACGTCACTTCCTGATTCTGTCCTGCAGTGGTTCTTTCTGTTTGGATTCAGATGTTCAGACTGATAAACCTCTGGGCTAAAATTGGCAAGACTGTCTCCATTCAGGGATGTTTCACAACAGGGGGGCTCTCTGACTGTGGCCCATGCTGGGAGTGCGCGCGTTGGTCTCCCACTAATGGCCAGTCAGTAAACTAGAGTAATGCAATGGCTGCAAACAAAGTTACCGCACTAGCCCAACAAACAGCAATGCAGGGTTTTACTGCTGACGGTTGTGAGTTCAAGCCATGGCATCAGTCCCATGGATCAGACTAAACCTAACTCAGTGAGTTTTATTTGGAAATCAGACAAGACCATCCTTAGGATTGACGGAGCCCTGCACAGTACTATGAAATTGGTGGCCCGTCCCCAATGGCAGCTGGGTCGGGGGCGAGAAGGTGATGATTTTTTGGAGCTGTGATATGATGATCTTCAGCAACACACTAATGAAATAGTTTAACAGCAAGGTCCTATCGACTAACACACAAAAATCAGAAACTGACCGGGGTTGGCAAACACCTGTTAAATGGCTCCATTCCCACTTGGCTGGCTGTTTCACGGGTTCTGCTAATAGCTTTGGTAGGCTTTTCCCACTTGGAAGTTAACTAGACCCTCTCCAGAGGAAGCAAAGCCGCAGGACAGGGATAGGAAGAGGTGGATAGGTGGCTATTAAGACCCGAGGGTGCCCCAAATTTTCAGATGCCCTATGCATCTGTGTATTCTGTGCATGGGTAAGAACGGCTCTGGGAGCAGGTTTCTTTGCAAAAGTCTTTGGCCAGCCCGATAGCACATTCCCCACTCACGTCTTTTCCTCTTCCTGCAGCTGGTGAAGCTCTGCAGCGGGATGATTGAGGCTGGGAAAGCCTACATCACCACCAACAAGCACTTTGTCAGCGGAGTCCGAGACCTGTCCCAGCAATGCAAGAAGGATGAAATGATTTCGGTGAGTTGCCTCGGGGGGACGAGGCATCAGAAAGGGTTAAACTTTCCAACAGGAGACTGGGGCCTTCTATAGAGGAGGAGGACTGCGGGGGGTTCTCTCCACACAGCGCTAATAGAAATGTTTCCCAGGAGTGGGTAGACACCTGTGATGGTAGGTAGGTGCTTTTCCTTATGCCGTGGTGCACTAGGTTTCTAGGTGGTGCTTCCTTTGATTTCCCACCAGAGGTGCTTTATGCTCCAGGTTGGACCTCCCTGGTCAAGCACCTTCAAGACCTGAGTGGTTCCCAAAAGGGAGTTTGCTGGATCAGGGGAGAATAATTCTGGCCCCCTGCTGCTGGCCTTCAAGCTCTTCCAGGGGGCTGCCAGCCTCTTGGCCGCTGACTCCACTCCTGGATGTGCCTTTGGTCCCAGCTCTGGCTACCAGCCTTGACTCCACTCCCAGTCGCACTCCTGGCCCCAGCCCTGGTCCTGCCTGCTGGCCCTGCCAACACTCCTGACCCTGGCCACCAGGACCAACCGTGCTTCCGGCTCCGGCTGCTGGCCTGGCTCCACTTCCAGCCACCAGCCACTCTGCCGCCAGACTCCTGGCCATCCTCTGCTTCCAGCCACCAGGGCTCTCTGGTCCAGCAACATCCATGGTCCAATAGGATGTTGGCCCCACATGTAGTATCTTTTCCCTATATATTCCCAGAAGGCAAGTGAGGGGACCAGGAATCAGGGCTTTGGGTCCCCTCCCCAGATTTGCCCCCAACTCAGTGTAAGACCTTGGACAAAAAAGACACATGAGCGCTCTGTGACTCAGTTTGCCTTCCTGTGAAGTGGGCTCAGTTTACCTGTCTCGCTAGAGAAGGACTGGAGAGCAGATGGTTGTGAGGCATAACACCCGCAAAGGACACTGAGGTCTTTGTAGTTATGTGCTGCTGCTATCAGCTGTGACAGGGAGGATCAGTGATATCCAGCGGACTCCATCGGAGGCAAGGAAATCATGCCAACCCTCATTCCCACTGGAGTCAGAATTGTAACCAAAATCTCCCCGGGCCCTCTAAGAGTCTGTCCAAAGCATTGGTCAATCTTTAGAAGGAAGCCATGCTAAAGAGATGCACAATATTGGTCCCTTCAGGTGAAATTTGTGCCTGTAGAGAGGACCAGCCTGAGGTCTATTCACCATCTGAGTCTCACATAGGGGGCGATTTCACCTGGGCGTCTGAAAGATTCCCCAGATGACGTAGCACTGAACAGGTTTCAGAATCAGCTTCTTGTTTGCAAGAGGCATGATGGTTTTAAGAAGCCAGAATGCAAGCAGGATCCCTGGAATGTAGGTCAGTGAGCATCAGTTATTTGGGAAACATGGAGAGCCACTGTGCAAAAGAAACAGCCAGGCAGGGCTGGTTTCAGAGCTAAACCAGAAAGGACAAGTGTCCTCTGGCTTTAGTGCCAGCCATTTATTTCAATGCACAGTTGCCAAAGCTCATCAAGGGCTTTCACCTCCTGCCCGTGCTGGAGGAAGGGCAGCTGCCTGTCCATTCACTGCCTGTCCTCTTCTCCTTTCGCAGGAGTGCCTGGACAAATTTGGAGACAGTCTGCAGGAAATGATTAACTATCACATGGTAAGGTGCTGCTCGTTTTGTTTTGTGTGTTGGCTGCTGGCCCTTAATCATCTCGCCTCCCTTGCTAGATGCTCCTTAATGATCCGCTGGGTTGGGATCTGGCAGCGGTCGTGTGACACTGGACAAAGGGTGGATCTATGAAAGGATCCTCTTAAGAGTCCCTTTGCTGGAACACTTGGCTGCAATTACAAGGGTGAAGGGGTTGGGAGGAGGGGATGTTGCTGCCAGTTGTACAAGGTTCTTGTCTCTTTAATGAGTCACGTCCCAGCTCAGGGACAGCCTTGCATTGACCAATGGGGTTGCATTGGTGCAATGACTCGCAGTAGTGCTCTTTGTGCCAGAGTCACTGGGACTGCATTGGGTGCACCAGTGAATGGGTTTGCACTGGTCTGCAGGGGTACATTGATCGGTGGGGTTGCACCAGGCTACCCTGATTATTGTATTGATCAGTGCAGATGCACTAGTGCATAGATCCACGGTGGTGCAGCGGGCGCATTGATCCGGGAGGGCGTCAGTGCCGTTGGTTAATAGGTTTGTGGAAGGTGGGATTTGCCTCACTGGTTTTGACCAAACATGCAGGACACTGGATGGGAGGGTGGGCGAATGCTCTACCCAGCGAGGCAAATAGGAGACTTTCAGCACCCTCCCGAGCTGCAGGGGTGCTAGCCTCACTCTCTTCTGTTGGAAAGGCAAGGCGCCAAACCAGGCCATGCTCTCTGAAGAATCTGCTGCGTGCTCCCCATCCCAGGCACCAAAGGAATCTTCTCTGCCTCAAAAAGCTAGGCAGAGAGCAGAGGTGAAAGTAAGCGGTTGCACCCTGGAGCGCAGCTCCGGCAAGCGCGGGCTGAGCTGTGGTAAAGGCCAGCAGGGAGCTATTTGAAGAGCTGGCAGGGACCCGGGTGCAATAGGACAAGACCTGCACGAAATGTTAAGTTACCTTCAGGGCTGGGAGAGAGAGATACATGCTGTGACCTTTTGGTGCCTGGGGCAACTGGAAAGAAAACTAGAGACTTTGCTGTCAGCAGCAGGTTGAGGGGGGGACGGGAGAAGATGCGGCATCTCTGTCTTGGCTTTTGCTGGAGCCTCACGGCAGCCAAAGCATCAGGGCCATGAAACCTCTGTCAAAGGGAGAGGCGCTAGAATGCTGGTTCCCCAAATGGAAAAGGCAAACCCAAACACTGTGGATGGTTTGTTTTTCTTTGATGATTATGGAGGGGGCTTGTGTGTGAGGCCAGGGCAGGGCTAGATGGGGTCCAGAGGAACTCCAGGACTCAGCACTTCACCGTGAATGCCTCAGTTGCATCGCCTGCACGTATTCCAGACTGGAGGCGAAAGGACAGGATCCTCTTGGAAACCCAGAAACATTGACCTCTTCCCTATCTGCACTGACCTCTTCCCACCTTGGGTCCTGCACCCCCGTCGACAGCTAGATGTGACTCTCAGCCAGCAGGTAGAATAGAAGGTGTATGAGTGGACACAGACTTGGCAGCACAGAACCCAAAAGCCATCAGTACAATCCATCTTGGGGACAGGAGGCCCAGAGCCAAGGGCCCCGACCCCCCTCTCTGCATCCCAAACCAGCGAGAGTAACTCACACACCCAGCAGCCCATCTCTTCCTGCAGCCAGCCCTGCCTCTAGCCTTTTTCCAGCTTCCCTGGGGGAAAAGATGTCACCTAGTCACACACCCCTCCCAGGCTCAGGTTATAGAAAACATCAGCCGTTGTGTACGTGAGGGAGATACTCACATCGAAGTTCCCATTCCCATCTAGCTAATGGTGCAGTGCCCAGGGAAACTGAGGCACACACATGGGTTACTACAGGACAGTTGAAATCCCATGCAACGTAACAAAGCAAACAGAGCGAATAGGATCCCCACGTCATCACATTTGGCTGCTCCTGATGCCGGGCATGCTTTGGGGTGTGCATTGGCTTGAGATGGCCATGTGAAGACCATGTGGAGGATGTGGTGTGAGAGGGGAAGCCCAGAGCTGGCAGCACAGGCGGCTTTTATCCCAGCAGACTGACGGCATGGACTAAGCCAATGCGATATTCCAGGGGGGTGAGCCCCAGATAGCTGGAAGCCAAGAGCCTGTTGGAATGAGCAATCCCCTGGGACCACAGTCTGCCGGCTTGTGCGCAGCTTTGGGGTCAGGGATAAACTGAAGTAAATTAATGCCACAGTAAGAGTTAAGGAAGAAAGTCGCCAGATAAAGTCTGAGTCTAGACATCCATGTGTCTCAAAACCAGAGCACCTGGGCTGGGAGACCCCATCCTGCACTCCACGCTGAATGCTCATATTTATGAGCCTTGCAGAGGAGAAAGGGGCCTGAGACAGCTGTACTTTATTGGACTCAGTCGGGAACGAGAGCGCCACAGACCTAAGAAGGCATCCTAGTGTGACCCCGTTTTGCCCCCGGTGCTCCTGTCACTGCGCATTAGGGATGATGCATGCATGTGGGATGCAAGCTAGCTGTATGCGAGCAGAGGCAAAGCCGCAGTGTGTCCATCTTATTCTCTGGGAAGCAGGGAGGCAGAGCAAGTTTCCTACTTGGGAAATGAGATAGGGGAAGAGGTAAAAACACACCAAGGCTTTCTGGGCACGTTAGCGTGCGAGAACAAAGTCAACCAGTGATATAGAAACCCAACAGCAGAACTGTCCCAAGCGTGGGAGCGAACCAGAGAAGCGGGGGAGGGGGGGAGGAGAAAGCAAGCGGTGTGAGAGGCCAGTCTAAACTAAGCGCACCTTGCTGGAGTAGCTGGACCAGTATATTGTACTGGCAAAGCAGTCCCAGTGTAAACAGCTATACCCGGAAAGCTGTGGCGAGTATAGCTCATTCCAGCTCCACCCCGGAGTGAAATAAGCTATACTGGTAAAAGCTCTGCTGGTAGACTTGTGTGTATAGAAGGTGCTTCTGGTAGTACAGCTCTATCAGCTGGCTATCTGTCAGTCGGCGATCACACCTTTTCACACCCCTGACTGATGCACTGTGTGTATGTGTGTGAGAGAGAGAGAACGGAGCGTGTGGGGAACAAAGGAATGAGAAGAGAAGACAAACCCCCTATATTCTGGTAGAAGGCCCACAAGAGAACCCCCCAGCCCTAGCTGAGCCTACGGGAGGTTGAAACATCTATCAATGTTTAACAACATGCAGTTTGCTGAACTAGAAGTGCCAAACGTGCAGCCTCAGAGGAGATTAGCTAATTAAACCCCTGTTGCTACTGTGGAGGATGTGGCGTGAGAGGGGAAGCCCAGAGCTGGCAGCACAGGCGACATTTATCCCAGCAGACTGACGGCCTGGACTAAGCTGGTAGGCATGGGTCCACTCTTGGTCTCTCACTCTCTTTTTGGCCCTTCCACCAACCCTGGGGCCTAGTTTTTCCCTCATGCCTAGGGTTGCCAGGTGTCTGGTTTTGAACCGGACAGTCCAGTATTTGAGCTTTCTGTTCGGGAAACAAATTGAGAAAATATAAATGAGAAAATAGAAATGTCCGGTGTTTTCTAAATAAGATGTAATGTAGATTGTGATGTAATGTCAAGCGTGTCCGGTATTTTTGTTGAAACCATCTGGCAACCCTACTCAGGCCCCCAGTGACTTCACTGAAAGTCTCACCCCCCATGTGAGATCAGAATCCTTGTGGTGGGAGGGGAACGTTTTTTCCCTGTGACTCCCAGAAGCCCTGGCCTGAGCAAAAGCAACAGCAGTAAGAAGGGGAGGCCGGGATGTTCCAATGGGACTGGAGATCCCGGCTCTCGACCTTGAGGCCCAGCAAAGAGGTTGATTCTCCAAAACTGCTGAGCAGCTCCCCTCTGAAAATCCAGGCCCCTTTCAGGTGTCCCGGGGGGGGCATCAAAGGCTGAGGCACCCAGATCACTAGTCCCCAGGGCGAGTGGGGGGGTCTCTAAGCCTAGTCACGTTCTCTCCTTCATGAGTGGGTTAGCTATTTTGGCAACACTGTAAGCAGGAATTTACTCACGTGTGACAGCACATGGTGACCCCAAAACGTGGAGAAGGCCTTCTTCCCCTGAGTCCTACATGTAATTCCTGTGAACTTAATCCAGGATAATCCTACTTCCAGTGACGTCAGGGGGAGTTTTGCCATTGATCTCTCTGGGTGCAAGCCTGAAGCGTCTGGTCTACACTGGGACGCTGACAACATGTACCCAGAACCAACCACTGCACAGTTTTGGTCCCAGCGTGCATGGGGAGAACAACCCAGAATACAAAGGGATGTGGGCACTGAGATAGCTACCCACAGTGCATCACTTTCAAAGTTGACGGTAGCCACCCTACTGGGGATGCACTACTTTGAACCGTGTTGAATTCTTGCGCGCAGTGGGGATATGCATCTTCGACTTTACAAAACCGAGCGCTAAAAAGTCGAGCTTAATACATTCAATCTTATCTCGTAGTGTAGACATAGCCTCAGTTGTTACTCAAAGAGAGCGCTCCTTGGGTGGGAGTAGGTGAGAAGTGCAAGAGTTTATTCAGACTTCTGTTTAACTCTGGGATCAACGCTAGAAAAATGTAGGTCAACCTCATCTGCACGGATAGGGCAGGTTTGGAGCACGGAGGTGCAAGGGGCTGGGGTAACTACCTTGAAAGAAAACTACATTAAGCAGGCCACTTGGTATGAAAATGACCAAACTCGATTTGTAATTTTCATTTGTTCCCCCAGGGGGTGGACTAGGCTTTTCTGAGGTTATGTCTGGACATTTTCTGAGGTTACTCCTTCCAAAGTCTTTCCAGTTATGGGGGCACTCGGTCTCTGTCAGGTTTGTTCATGAAGGTGCAGTACAGCTAGATCTTTGGTGAGGACTTACCTCCAACCCCTCCCTGCTGTCACTGGCTTGTACCTGGCCTGGTGGACCCTTGTGGCCAGCAGAGGTTTGCAAGCTGTCTTCCTCCCAGCAGGTCTGTTGCAAGAGTCAGCGAACTCTGGGACACATCAGCTGCTGTGATTGCTGCCCCTTCCCAGGACAAACTCTTCCTTTTAGGTT